GACCCAAAAGCTGTTCTGTAACGACCTAGGTCCAGATGGGTGCCACCCCCTCCCTCGCCAGCGCTGTGTCTCATGAAGCATCTCCCAGAGTGAGATAAAATGTCTCCCATGCCACCCTTGGAGGTGGTTGTATTAGCTCCCATCTGCAGCTCAGGAACCAGAGACTGTCAGGGGCCTCTCCGGACCACCCAGCCAGGAAGCAACCCAGCTACAGCCTGACTGCAGCCTGGTGGAACCTGCCCTTTCTCTCCTGTTTCTGGGGCTAGCCTTTGCCATGGAATTCTGGCCTTTTTTGTGTTCCTTCGAGGGAAGAGGCTAACTCAACAGAAATGATGTTTATTTTAAATCTGCTTCTCAGCCAGGCTCCCCATCTCTGTACCCCAACTCTTCAGCTACATGCAGGGTCGTGGGTGGAGGTCAGTCAAGCAGGGCTGCTCCAGCCCCCATGGCTGGGCATAGCTGTAAGGACTGAGTTGGGGCTGGTTGGCAGAGCTGAGTCCAGTCCCAAATGCAGGGAACACAGGGAGAAGGAGAAGTCTGGGACATCTAGCCCTGAGAGAGGGGACCACCTTCGTGTCTTAAAACCAAGGGTCTCAGACCATACTCCCACACCTCCCCTGTGCCTGGGGCAGAGGCCACTGGGTTCTGCCATGAAACATACATGGCTTGAACTGAGGATGCCGGGGCCAGGCCAGCGCAAATCCCTCTGTCCCAGCAGGAAAAGCATGTGTTGTTTCTTTATAGGGGAGAAATTGTTCCGTGAGTGACGAAGGCTCTTGGCCACAGACCTGGGCACAGCCCGAAGAACACCAAGTTACCATCCCTGGAGCCCTGGATGGGGCTGGCTGACACCCCAGAGATCTGGCCTATCGATGGGGTTAGGGGGAGGGGTTAAGGAGGTTGGGGGTTGGGGGAATGTGCCCCAGACTTAGCTATTCAGGGCAAGAATGGGAGCATTTTATCCATTCTGTCTGGGCTGGAGACTGAGGATCAGGGGACTGAGAGAGGCGGGTGACCTTTCAGGGCCCCTCACTCTGGCTCTGAGTCCAGGCCTGAGTCAGAGGTGACTCAGGTGTGCTCAGCCAGGCGGGGTCTTTTCAGATTTGTCATTTCCAGACATTCCCCCAGTTCACCTTTATGCTCCAGGATTAGGTGTCACCTGGGTGGAGAGAGAAAAGGGGGTGGCTGGATGGAGGGCATTGCTGTTTTCTGGCATGGCCCTCTTTTTCCCCTCACTTTTTCCCTGTTGGTTAAAAGGGTGGGGAAGGTGGAGAGGGATGGGATGGAAGTAGGGAGCAGGGAATTGGGCAGGGTTGGAGGGGACCACTGGTACCTGGATGGGGTATCTGCTGGTGGTGGGGCAGAGTGGAAGTGGGAAGGGACTCCACAGAAGAGAAAACCTTGACAAAACACGGAACTCCGAACCCAAAAAACCAAAGACCCAGGGCAGAGGGTTGGGACGGAAAACCACCAAATGTGACAGGTCATGAGGTCAAAAAGCAATCGGATTTGTCTGGGGTTCCTTGCCTCCAGGGAGGCAAACCACAACCCGTGTCCCCTTCAAGGAGTGATTTTAAAGTTGTTAGCTCTCTATTGTTGTGGACACCTTGAGGTCAAGGGCTGATGGCCTTAGGGGAAGGGAGGCAGGTGTCAACTGGGAGGTGAACTGAGGCTTAAGTCTCAAACTGGTGACCTGTGGACCAGAAGACCAGAGGATGTGCCCACTAACCGGTCTCTCCGCATGGCCACATGGGGCTGAGTGACAACTGCCCACTCCAACAGGGTGGGGACTCAGGTCTGCAGGGCAGAGCTGGCAGGTTTGCTCGTTAATTTTACTTGATGATCCCTGAGGTGTTTACATCTCGGTCTTCAGAGCACAGGGGCTGACTAGGCACCCTCCTCCCTCCCGAAGCTCACCCTGCAGGCCCACCCAGGACAGCAGGGGGACGAGGGGGCAGTGCCATCTAAGATGCAGACTCTTCTCCTGGGCTCAGGCAAGACCAAACTACATGAGCTGTCCTACTGGGCTACTAGACAACTCCCCTCCATACCTGGGTTCAAATCCACCAACACTACCCCATGCTGCCACCATGCTGGCTGGGTCTGTCCTGGTCTCCAGAGGCAGATGGCTCGTACCACCACAGACAGCAGTCAGTCACCTGGCCTTCTTGCCAGGGAGCAGAGATGGTCCCCTGGGGTCCAGAGCTGGAGGAGGGTGGGTGTTCAGGGCAGGGGCACCATGAATGTTGAGGAGAAGGGACAAGCAAGAGAGGCTGGTCCCAGGGCAGGACACCAGCAGTAGGGGGAGGGGAGTGGAAACCAAGCCAGAGAAGAGGGAGGGCTGGGGAAGAAGAGACAGACAGAGTCAAGATGGTGCTGAGAAGCCCAGCCCTGCCTCCTCCCCGGTCCATCATTGGACCCTGACAAGACTTTTCAGAACTGAGGGCAGAACCCACAGGGAGGGAGACCTCCTGATGAGGGTACAGGCAGGCCACCCTGCAAAGTGGTTCTACTCCCTGGTCCTGTTTGCTTCCCTGATGGCGCTGGAAGTGGAGACTCACATTCCCATTTTACAGATGTGGAGGTGGAGGAAAGCTGGCTAGGAAGTTACTGGGGAACCTCCAGGCTCCTGGGGTGTCCTGGTTTGGCTTGCCAGACACTGTTCTAGCACCACCAAGGTCTGGTCTGCACAGAGGTTGTGCACCCTACCCTTGTGGGTAGGATGGGAAATTACTTGCCCCACACAGGGCTGCAGAACCTCATGGGATTATGGGTGTAAAGCACTGGGAAGTGGCTGCATAGGTGACAGGCCTAGGAGTGGGGCTGAGCCAACAGCTCCCACTACTCTCATGGGTCCTGGGAGGAGGGTGGGCTTGTCCCCCCTTTCAAGGCTGCCCTGGAAAGAGCCTTGGCCTGCGTCACCTCCCTAAACGGGCTTGCTGAACCTCAGCCTCTGCGGTGAGTGAGAACTGACTAGTGGGTCCCTTGAGCAGCCCCCAGACATTTTTTTTTTTTCCCTGCTCTGCCTCATCTTTATTTTTTTTTTCATTTTTCTTTTATTATTCATATGTGCATACAAGGCTTGGTTTATTTCTCCCCCCTGCCCCCACCCCCTCCCTTACCACCCACTCCACCCCCTCCCGCTCCCCCCCCCCAATACCCAGCAGAAACTATTTTGCCCTTATCTCTAATTTTGTTGTAGAGAGAGTATAAGCAATAATAGGAAGGAACAAGGGGTTTTGCTGGTTGAGATAAGGATAGCTATACAGGGCATTGACTCACATTAATTTCCTGTGCATGTGTGTTACCTTCTAGGTTAATTCTTTTTGATCTAACCTTTTCTCTAGTTCCTGGTCCCCTTTTCCTATTGGCCTCAGTTGCTTTAAGGTATCTGCTTTAGTTTCTCTGCGTTAAGGGCAACAAATGCTAGCTAGTTTTTTAGGTGTCTTACCTATCCTCACCCCTCCCTTGTGTGCTCTCGCTTTTATCATGTGCTCAAAGTCCAATCCCATTGTTGTGTTTGCCCTTGATCTAATGTCCACATATGAGGGAGAACATACGATTTTTGGTCTTTTGAGCCAGGCTAACCTCACTCAGAATGATGTTCTCCAATTCCATCCATTTACCAGCGAATGATAACATTTCGTTCTTCTTCATGGCTGCATAAAATTCCATTGTGTATAGATACCACATTTTCTTAATCCATTCGTCAGCCCCAGACATTTTGTTGAAGACACACCCCTTACCCCTCATCCCAGTGTCCACCTCCCAGTGACCTCAGGAGGCAGCCTGGTGGACAGAAAGGCCCACGCGCACCACCTGGTGGCCAGTGGTAGCCATACACCCAGTGGCTTTGAGGGTTCACAGGAAACCGCTACAGACCAGCAGAGAGCTGGTCATGACTGAAACCGGGAGACATAGCACAAGTTGCATCCTCCCTGTCGTGGGAGGGAGGGAGCCCTCCAGGTTCCCAGAGGTCAGAGGTCGGTAGAGCATACGACAGGTGTCAGATCAGCAGGGAACAGGTGTCAGAAACTCATACCTGGGCTCTGCACCTCAGGCCAGATGCATGGGGACGGTGGGAGTGGGGTGACACCCTCAGGGGCTGCTAATGGGCCCAAGTGTGAGCACACGGAGCCCAGGCCCTGGGCCCAGGGTTCAAATGGCCCAGGAACAAGACCACCCACGGAGGTGAAAAACTAGGGATCTTGGTTTAGTGACCCAGGCCAGAGGTAAAAATCCTTTGGACCTTTCTGTCCTTCCCCAAGACAGCTGGACCCTCCCTGGGTCCCCCGATCTGCAGGTGGTCCGGGGGTAACAATAGTTAATACTCAGTGGGGGCTTACCCTAGAGCAGGCATGGGGCTGGGGGGGTTCCTCACAACACCTGAAGTTCCTGATGAGTTGCTATACAATTCCCTGCTGTTCAGACTGAAGCACAGAGAGGGTGAGTAACTTGCCCCGGATCACACAGCTGCTAAATGGCAAAGCCAGGATTCTGCCTGAGTTCTCTCTGACTCCAGAACTCCGAGCTTTACAAGTGGGGAATAGTGGCACCTGTCACCCTTCTGATACCTATGCTTTGAAGTCATTGCACCCAACTTAAGATGGACTGACCCTTGAGCAGGACCACCCAGGAAACAGGCACCCATCTGGACATAAACACAATGGAAAAAGGAGCCATTAGGTCACTTGTCACTCAGATTCAATATCAGCTTCTTGGATCCCTGGGATTGACGATTTTGAGAAAACTGACACTTGTCCATCTTCCAAGAATGGTCTGCACCCCTCTCAACGCCACACAGACTAGGGTGTGTCCAGTTAACCCAGATCAGAGAGAAGAAAGGAGAAGTCAAGGAGGAATCCACAAATTGAGTAGACAAAATATAGAATCATTTTATTACTAAAGATTTCCAAAAAGCAAGCTTTTTTTTTTTTTTTTTTTGGTGATACTGGGGTTTAAACTCAGGGCCTTGTGCTTGCCAGGCAGGCACTCTGCCAGTTGAGCCACTCCTTCAGCCTGTGTTGCTGTCTTGAAGCAGTGAAAGCCTCTGGTCCCTGAGGAAGGAGCTGGGATGACCTCAACCCAACAAGACCAGGCCAGACGGCCCTTGGAGGGCTCGAATCCTCTGGGAGATTCGGTAGAGCTCCATGGTGGCCCTCGCGTCTTCCACCGAGCTGTGTCCAGTCCGCTTGTTCTGCAGACACAGGTAGAGTGGGCTGAATTCCGAGGCCCAGTGCCTGCTTACTTACGCCCTGATTTCCCGGTTCTCTAGGAGGGTCAGCGGGTCAGTCTCCCCGAGGGCCCTGATTCCCTGGATTTTGTCAGCAGGAGGCTGAAACTGGCTTGGGTTCATCCTCAGGGGTCAAGCGCACTGGGCCCAGGTGTGACCAGGCACCAAATCCAGCATCCTGAGGGGCAGGCTGTGCCCTCAAGGCACCTAGGATCTGGTAGGGGGTGTTGGAGGTGGGAGGCTGCAGAGCTGCTGTCAGATGCACACAACAGCTCCAACAGGGAGCCCTGGGGACTAGAGGGGAGTCCACCGAGGGACTTCAGCCAGGAAAGCTCACAGCACAAGAGACCAGCAGGCCTGGTTGTACCAACCTTAGAGGATGGGGATAAGAGTGTCAAGGGCCTGGTACCCACACCCCAAGGAATTGCAAACATTTGGGAACCATGAGAACAAGTGCTGCTAAAATCAGAGCTTCATGAAGATGGACTAGGACCCTTCAGAGATGGCCACGGATGCTGTGCAGGGGAGTCTAGACATGATGAGGGGAGGGGACATGCCAGGGCATTCAGGAGAAGCAGCTGCTATTGCTGCCTTTCTCTGTGCTAATCACTGGGCTCATGCAATCTCATTAAACTCCGAGCTAGACTGATTACTTCCCCCATTTTACTGATGGTGAAACTGAGGCTCACACTAAGGATGTGGAGTTAGGGTTTGGATCCCACAGACAGCACCCTTACCAGGTGAACTGCCCCCTGCAGTCACCTCTCACCTCCTCACTTTCCTTCCTCTCAGCCCGTGCTGACTCTGGACTGGATGTTGGGGACACCTGTTGGGACAGCCCAGCCACCCGTGTGGTTGATAAGCAAGCAGGTGGAATGTGGGGCTGTCTGTGCTGGGAGCCTCACCTGCACCTCCATGTACCTGCTCATCACCACCCTCACTTGACAGTTGAGGAAACTGAGGCACGGAGGATTTACGTGCTCTAGCACTCTGCTTTCTGGAGAAGGAAGCCAGGAATGAAGCAGCAGACAGCCTGAGCGTCCTCCGCTGCCCAGCAGCATGAGAGGGACAGCCCCCGCTGTGGAATCGGACGAACCTGGTTCCGATTCCAGCTCCCCTGTGGAGCCCGTGACCATGGGCAGGTCATCTCCTCTCAGCAGATCGGGAGGTACCAAATTCACAGCATCCTCCACAGGCTGGACCGCTGGGAGGAGCCTTCCCTGTCCTGCTGGGGTTCAGACCCCCTGCTGCCACATGGGCCCACAGGACTGCTGTTTGAGTCCCTCGAGGGGAGGTGACACCACTGTCCAACTGTGACAAACCCCAATCAGCTCCGTGGCCCTTGGGTCAGATCTGGTCACAGTGACAAGCGGTACCACTGTCCTCATGCAGGGGCTGGAGTGGGAGGGGGGTTGCTGAGCCCAGGGATGAGGGACAGAGCTTGAGAGGCCCTGGGTCAGGCTCAAGGCCCCAACTGAGAGCCACAGAGGTTAATGGTGCACAGGGACTTCTAGGTGTCCCTAACAGCCCAGGTGTGGGTGGCACCAGAGCATGGCCCTCGGGCTCAGGAAAAGCTCTGACTGGTCTTCCTGTGCCTCTAGGCTAGCGGAGAGGCCCAGACTCAGGCCTGCTCTCTGCTTTCAACACATTTCCTGCCCCTGAGGGGTGAGGCTCGATGGTCCCCAGCCCCTCTCCCAGAGTTTCTGGCCCAAATGGGAGAATTCCCTTCCGCCCACCAAGTGCCCATCACCTGCCAACCTGGCTGGCGCCTGCTTCGCCCCTGCACAGGAAGAGCTGAGGAGATGGTGCCAGGGAGCAGCATGAACGAAAGCCTGATGGGAACCGGGGTTCCCATCCCCACTACAGGGCTCGATTTAAACCAAAAAAACCAAGCCTGTGTGGGGTGTTTTCCCTTCCTTCCCCCCTTCTCACTCTATCAGCACTTCCTGCTAAATAAACTCGATCTTGTCTCTGGGAAGCCCAAAGACACCCTCCTTCTCTCACAAGCAGATAGCCTCTCAGGAGGAAGGGAGAGTTTTGGGGCCAAATATTTGCACACTTTTGGGAAGGGATGTGTCCTGAAGGATAGGGCTGGTCCCAGGAAGGACTTAGGAGCAGCCTCAGGTAGGTGGCCCTGGCCCCCCCACCTGCACCTAGGAAAGAGGAGGAGGGTGTCCTCACCTGGATGTGTTTGTTCAGCAGACGCTCGCTCAGCACCCGCAGAGACACGCGTTTGCAGTGCAGCAGGTCGGCTTCGGCCCACAGCACCAAGTCAGTGGACGTGTCATAGATGTTATAGTCGTTCATGTCCTCCTTCAGCGCCTCAAAGTCGTGCTTCAGGTCGTGACCCACCACCAGCTTGCCTTTCAGGAGCTGCAGGATCTGCCCAGGAAGACAGGCACCCCACACATGTCTGCCTAAGTCCTTGGGTAGGCTGGGAACAACTTGGTGAAGAGACAGGGCTGGCAGGGAGCAGCCCCTTCTCAACTGGCTATGTGACCTTGGGCAAATCCCCCATCCCTTTCTGGGCTTCTAACATATGGATGAAAAGAGATTGGACCAGGTTCCTCTTCACGTCCAGTAGTTTAAGTCTGTCAATGGCCCACCCTGGACTCCTCCAAAGACTCAGCTGCCTAACAGTGATTGCTGGTCCCCACTGGAGCATTTCCTGTGTGCCTGCAAACATCAACACGTCACAACAACCCTGCAGTGGCTGGGCAGAGTAAGGAAGTCCTAATGATGACCCTGTTCTAACCCCAGAACCTGACACTGTTACGTGACAAAGGGAATTAAAGCAGCAGGTGAGATTTAAGATTGCTAATTAGATGACCTTAACCTAGGGAGAGTTCCTGGATCCCCAGATGGACCCAACATAATCCAAGGTCCTCATTTGGGAAGGGCAGGGTGACTCCATGCGGGAGAGCTCGCCTGCTGTGGTTGGCTTTGAAGATGGAGGAAGGGGCCATGGTCAAGGTTTTCAGAAGCTGGAAAGGGAGAGGAGATGGCGTCTCCTCCAGAATGAACCAGCCCGGCTAACACCTTCATTTTAGCCCGGTGAGACCCAGGCTGGACTTCTGAACTGCAGTGCTATTGTGTTGCTTTAAACTATTTAGTTGACGGCTTTGTTCACAGGCACAGAAAATGAATTCAGCCAGGAGGAAGGGTGGGTTTCACTGAATCTTACAATGAACAAAACAGAAATGCACAGTAAAGTAATTTGCCCAAAGTTTCTCTGATCATCTTAAAATAAAATTGCAAATTCCTCAACACTTCTCTCAAAAAAAAAAAAACAAAAACAAAAACACCTGGAATTGAGTTCCTCTCCCCTTATATTCAGGATAGTTTAGGGACTCCTCTCTAGGGAATCCTAGGAACCTTGAGCTGATGTGTAAGAACCTTAGCCATCCTAAAGTCACCAGGCTGAGAGACCCTGGGGAGAAGAGGAGAAAGACAGACAGAGACAAACACAGAGAGAAAAGAAGAGAAGGAAAAAAGAAGGAGAAGAAGAGGAAGAGGAGGAGGGAAAGAAGAGAAAGAGGAAGAAGAAGAGGAGAGGGACAGACCTAAGAAACACCAGCACGTGCCACCAGACAAGTGGCAAGTGAACTTTCCTATGGCTCCAGCCTGTCCTCAAAATGTCCCAGCTGACGCACTGTCCTGCCCACCCAGCCCTGCCAAGCTGCAGGTACAAGAGTGAAATAAATATTGACATTGTCTGAGCCACCAAGGTGTGCATGTTTTCTAAGTGCCATGAGAAAATGGAACATCACACAGCTAGCTAGTGGAAGCGTCAGGCTTCAAAGCGTTTGTTTGCTCTGTTACACAACTGGACCAGCACCAGTGGTCCAGTCCTCAGAGTGCCCAACCTGATGTCCTGGGCACATGTCCAAGTGTCCCCTCAGGCCTTCTCTACCATGTACACAGCCTCCCATGCCCAGTCATGCAGCTGGTCAGCATTCTTTAACTCAACTGTACCTGGAGAGGAGGGGGGCACCTGAGACAGAATGGAGGTGGCTATCCTGGGCCCGGGCTCCAAGGCAGCCCTTAGTGATCCGTCTCCCTTTGGGTAGTTCTCTGTCAGCCCCCATCTTCCTCTGTGACCCAGGGAAGAGCTTAGTGGCTGCTGGCTTCCACCTTCCAGGTGGCTAGTGTCTCCTGGGACATCATAAGGTCCCATCAGCAGAGAAAGCTGAGGCTCAGAGAGCTGAGGTGACTTGCTCAGTCACGGTGTTGGAAACAGGATCTGTCTATTTGTGGTCACCCGACCACATGATCAGCCTGCTCCGTTACTAACATGGTTGCGATGGTGACCTTCTCTGGACAGAGTCTGTGCTCAGCCTAGGGACCTGGGGACAAGAATGCTACAGAAGGAAGACACCTTGCTCCTGATCTGTACTAGCACAGACACCGCACTGTGCTCAGAGTCACTCAAATACAGTCAACCCTGGGCATCTCTGGGAGAGCGACTCCAGGTCCCTCATGGTTCCCCAAATCTGAGGAGGCCTCAGTCCCTTACGTAAAGTGCCACAGTATTTGCACAGAACTCGTGCACACCATCCTGTGTATTTTAAATCACTTCTAGACGACAACTCCTAATAAAATGGAAATGCTGTGTAAATAGCTAGCCTGTATTGAGCAAAATCTGGACAGGCGCAACTTTTAAAAACCTTGGTTGAATCCACACATGTGGAATCCACGGATGCACAGACCCTCGGGGGTGGGGAGTTGGAAATCCATGAGATCTGGTCCACGGCCTGCATTCGGCATTTCTAACCAGCTGCTGGTCTTGGGGTCACATGGAGGCTTTTAAGATGTCCATGGGAGTGGCACAGCCTCAGAGCAGAGGAAACGGGGCAGCGCCGACTCAGCCCACAGGGGGGACCTGGATGCACTGGGCCATGGTCATGTGCCTTTTCTTGTTGACATCCTTTCTGTTTCCGAACAATGTGGCCTGTTTTTCCTGTCTAGGAGCTTGGCTCAGGCCCAGGTCACACAAAGCCGTGAAGGAACTCATCTACCATCCCAGAGACAGCCACAGGCAATCCCAGACACAAGGGGGAATGTGTTATGGTGATAGGAATTCCTGGGAAACTCATCACTTCCTGGACCCCAGAATTCCTGGAGGGGGATACATCGGACACCACGGGCCGGGCCTTCTCAGGAATAGACAAGCAGAAAAAGGGAAGGAAGAGAACAGCCGAGAGAGAGGAAGAGAGAGACACCAACGACTCTTTCAGGACAAAGATGTTCAGCCCTGGACTTGCTGTGTGGCATCGGGATACTAAGGAGCCTCTCTGGACCTCAGATTTACCATCTGTAAGGTGAAGGTCTGGATGGGCTCCACCCACTTTCTGAGGCAGAGCTGGAGAGGGGTGGGGATGACCAGGGAGGAGCCAGCCTCAGAGCTGTGTGACCTACTGGCTTCAGGACCTGTCACAAGGCAGGCCTGTCAGACTTTGACACGGCTAAACATGGGGAGTGGAGACTCAGATTCCTGGAAAGAAGGGAAGTGGCAGATGCAGAGGGACATTTATTGTTCTCTTATCAGCCAGGTACAAGGTTATTCCGAGTTCCATTTTACAGAGCAAGTTGCCAAAGATCAGAGAGGTTATGGTAACTGTCCAAGTCACACAGCTGGCGAGTTAAAAGCAAAGCTGCCATGTCTGAATTCCGCTGTCAGCTGAATGCCATCAGCATCACAATTGCTATTATTTTTACCTACAGACAGAGAGCCCTGCTGGCCCCTGACAGCACTGAGTGGAGAGTTCTGGAATCAGGAATAGCACCCCCGAGGCAGGGCGGTCATACCATTTGCAAAGGAGTACCCCAGGGGGTACTCAGGCCTCACAGCAGGGGAGTGACAGGTACAAGGGTGGCATTTCCCTGATCAAAATATCCAGACCCAGGAATCAAAGTCACCTGCGACTGTTCCAGGGGACTCTTCCTCTGCCTTGGAGCTCCGTCCTTCTGCCCACCCCTTCACGTGTTCATGGATCCATTCGATTCGATCTTTGCAGGCTGCCAGGAGCCTCAGCTGTGAGTGAGGTCCTCCCAGAGGACCAAGTCCCCGACTGCCATCAAGAGGGGCCTCAGTCTCCCCGGTTTCTCTTGCCACCCTCCGGGCTCTCCCAGTTCTCCTGCCCCCCAGCTAAGGCACATACTCTGGGGTAGATCTGGACAGTAAAGCTTCCTCCTCCATCCAGCTGAGCCCCAGAGAGGCCTGCCAGGTGGCACAGCCCCAACAGGATACCCAGAACCCGGCAAAAGCCACTGCGTAGATCATAGCTGAAATTACTTCCTGGTTACAAGCCACCATGGCCTCTTGTCTCCTTCCTAATCCACCAGGCTTTGAGGTGGGTGCCACTCAGCCTGCTAGGTGACATGAAGAGTATTAATTCACTAAAGTGAGTTCCTAGCCATTAAAAAATACTCTTAGATTAAAAAGGAAGATCACCTGCCTGAGGAAGCCCTGAATCGGAGCATGGGAGGGTTATCACAGCTTCCTGTGTGTCCTCAGGCAAGTCACCGCCCCTCTCTGAGCCCCAGTGTCCAGGGTTTCTCTACCTGGGCCCTACTAACATTTGGGGCAGATGTTTCTTTGCCATGTGTGTAGCCTGGGAAAGGCTGCTCAGGGGTAACCCTGGCTTTTTTTTTTTTTATAATATCACTCCCACTTCCCATGTCACCATCTCACTGAGAACCAGTGTTCTAGATTATGGTCACACCTAGAGGTGGCAGAAGATAAGAGACAATTTCTTTACATTCTAAAAGTTATGTAATCACATTCCAAAAAATAAAAAAGCAAAGGTCAGCACGTTCAAACCCCAGTACTACCAAAAAAAAAAAAAAAAAAAAGCAAGAAGTGGGAGTAACCCTGCTGACGGTCAGTGCCCTATGACGCCAGCACTCCAGGGTTTACTTGCTGCTAGTTGGGCCCACTCACTGGGTCCCACTGGAGAAAAAAGACCCGAAAGGGACAGCCTTTGACAAATGCCCAGGGAAAGTCCAGGCCCACCAGCCCTGCACTCACCTGAGAGGTGTCACCTGCCTGAGGACTCTGAGGAAGGACTGTGAGGCTCCTGGATTTGGGGGCCCATGAACCCCATCTGTCTTTGGGACTAAAGCACTACGGAAGACTGGGGGAAAGGCTAAGAGTAGAGCACCTGCCTAGTAAGTGTGAGGCCCTGAGTTCAAATCCCTGAGTGCAAGCCACCAAAACATAAAACCAAAAGACTATGGCCATGTCAGGGCCAAGGTCAACTTGACCCCTGGTGTCCTAGCACACGTGACCGCTCCCATGCTGTGCTGGACACTGTCCCTTACATACACTGGACCAAGCACGACAGCCTCAGCTCTGAAGCAGGACAGGCAGCTTTCTCTAC